AAAAGCAATTTAAACGAGTTTATTTTGACTTAGGGTTTGAAAGCACTAGATGTCCATCATGGCTGAATAAGCATGGCGGGAGTGCAGGAAGCTGGGCGATCACACTTTCCTCCACATAGCAGAAACAGAGAGAGAATAGGAAGTGTGAAATGGTTATAAACCCTCAGAGCCTGCCCCCAGTGACGTACTTCCTCCAGCAAGTTTCCACCTCCTAAAAGTTCCACAACCTCCCCAAACATCACCTCCACTATGGACCAAGTAAGTGATCGAATACAGGGGCTCATGGGGACACTTCTCATTCAAACGGCCTCATCTGGCTATAGCAATCTTGGTCAGTAGTTATTTACTTTCAGGGCTTAAAATATATCATCCCATATTTTCTTGGCTTTTAGGGCTGCTGACCAGAGAGAGCACTGCTGCTGTTCTGATGTCTTTGCCTTTGTGGGTGGGTTGGTGTTTCCCCCACAGGTTTTAATGTTAATGTTTATTTGCTTTGTTTTTATTATCTGGACTATTGTGAAGAGGTTATTCCCTGGTGATGTTTACGGTTCTCTAAGTAGCTCTTGTGGTTGGGTGTCTATTTCTCTAGATTTAGGGATTTTCCACTCTAACTTCAGTGAATAGATTCTCTAGGCCTTCCACGTTTCTCTGTGCTTCTTTCATCCTATGGATTCCGAGGTTTGGCATCTTCATTATAACCCTGGGTTATGGGACCCTGCAGCCTTGTCTTGACGGCTTCCTCAGTCTTGTCCTCCACCCCCAAGTCATTCTTCCACTTGGTCCAATCTCTGGCAATTCCGCTGTTTTGTCTGTTTTTTAGTTGGTAGGGGGTTTCCTTTCTAACATTTTTGGTTTTGATTTCCTGTTTTTCAGTTTCTTTACTAACTTTTCCTCCTCATTGCTGTCTCTTCTGTGTCTCTGATCTTCTTGTCAGTTTTGCTGGCCTTTTTCTTCACATCGCTCCTTTTCTCTCCAGAAACTGGTCTTAGTTTCTTCCTGCCTTCTGAGTCGTTCTTTTTTCCTAGCAACCTTTGGAAATCTTCCCTGACATTTTACCTATTTCAGGATCTTTGAATTTCGTAGATGAAACCAGATCTTCTGAAGAGCCACAGTGTCTTGTGTGTTGGTTCCTGTTAGCACAGTTGTGATAGAATACCCGCTAAGAAGCACCTTCCTCAAGGACAGGTTTGCCTTGGCTCAGGGTTGGAGGGATGGGAAATCATGGCAGTGGGAGCGAGAAGTAGCTAGCTGGTCACATTGTATTCACTGTCAGAAAGAGGTCAATGCTGGTGGTCCTTAGATGGATTTTAAGCTCTAATTCATTTGAGAAATAGACAATATAGCAATTGTGTGTGCATATAGGAGCTTAACACACCTACAATGTGTAATATGCTCTAAGACATCATCTTATAGTTGTGTGGCTCAGTGAGTCCCAGAGAAGCAGACACAAATAAGAGACAACACTAGATTTGTTAAAGATCATAATGCTACTACCATTTATTTGAGAAAAGAAAAAGGAAAAAAAATAACTGTGAAAGGAAGAGAGAGCTCTCTCTAGCAACACTCTTTCTCTTTGAAATAAGTTATTAAAAAGAAAACATTGTATGAAATAGATCAAGACAGAAAAGGCAGTACTCAAGAATGTATTTTTGGATATAAAAATTCAGTTATGCAATCAGTAACATTCAAAACCAACTACACCTACGCAATTATAAAAATTGTTTCATGAAAGTTCACTGAATTTGAACAGGTACAATGTTCTGAAGGCATACAAATCCACCATAGGCATTTTGGATTTGGTTTCACTGCTGGGGAGCATGCCCAGGTGTCCAAAGCCACAAGGATAGGTATGCCTTCATCAGAGGCTTCTGCACACCCTCACTACCAACTTCACAACGGAATTGCACAGGACAGAGTTCAGGGGCTATTTTTTTTTCCTTTCCTTATTCAAGTTAAGCAAACACAATGGAAAAGGAAGGAAAAAAAAGTTGGACATTTAACAGACAAAAGCCATGTGCATGGGCCCCAACATGAGACTTCATTTGATTTTTCTTTTTTTTTTTTTTTTTTTTTTTTTTTTT